GAATGTGTCTTACTAGCAGGATCGCCTGGTTAAAATAAAGGAGAAAAGCCTGAAAAAAAGAAAACTAACACAATACCACATTTAGGAACTGGTAAGCTGTGATATATTACACCACATATCTAGTGTTTGTTGCTGACAGGTGTTCTTGAAAAAAGATAGATTATTAATGTAACATTTTCACATACCTTCATCACTATATAACAATTAATATCTCATGAGTATTGTTTCCACTGAACTAAGCTTGTCATCTTTATTTTATCACATCCACATTATATAGTGTGAGAAATTACACAGGAATGTGGAACACATTTTAATTACTTACTTAATCAACACGTTTCACTTTTGTCATCGTCCGAGCTGATATTACTAACTGATGATTGTATTGGACTTCATTAATAAAATCATTTTAGTTCCCACTCTCGGCAGTAATCTGATAAACAGTTATAACACATTTTTGCTTACATTCTCAGTGCTATGCTTGGTGGATTAAATTTTGTGCAGCTACTGTCAAGGCTGTTCAACACATTAAATTCTATTTGGCTGAATAGTATGGATTCAGATCTCTCTGATTAATACCTATCAGCCGAGGCTTCAGGCTTTAGCATGACAAGATGTCTTTATTAGTAAAGATTGTACACTGCATGAATAAAACTAAAAAGCTTTAGTACAGTACACAGAATAACAGTACATAAGTAGAACGTAAAAGGCTTGATAAATGGGCCCAGACTGGCAATTTAGCAACTCAGACATCTGCCAGAATAGCTGGTTTATGCATATATTATTTCTTAGGTAATGTGAGTTTCTGTGTGCTCCTCAGTATAAATCAGGACAAAAAATGTATGTTTTATTTTATCTGCCAAGGCACTAAATGGATATAGCATTTGGTCCCTTTTAGATGGTGGCCCCATTGCAGAAAAGAAGTCTCTTTATTTATGTTAATGCTGGCTGTGTAGCTCCACCGTAGTCTAAAGCATTCAATATGGGAACTCCTGTGGGAGAATGTTCTGCCAGCTCTGATCTCCCGCCTCCTCTCTTAGCTGACTGATTGTTTACTATAGTGAATAAACAATCAATGCTACAGGTCTGTGTGATAGAGCTGCCGACTGCTAGTAAACATACAGAGCAGCGGCAGCTCTATCACACAGCCAAAACAATGCGGATTGTTCATTCTGTTGCGCTGTGATCCATTTTTCAATGGATGCTAACAGAAGGCCATCGAAAAATTAATGGGTGGGAATGGGGCTAGTTCACACTACTCCATTCCATTGTGTTAATTATGTTGTGCTGAATAAAAAATGGAGAACATGCACTACTTTTTTTCAGTGCAACGTAAGGCAACGGATCTGGTGTGAAGCCCCATTTATACCCATTTATTTTACAGTGGCCTTCCATTAGCATCCCTTGAAAAATGGATTGCAATCGATTGGAAGGAAATCAGAAGGTACAATTGCAAGCCCTGGAGCACTGAGTGATCTATTATAAATGAATGTTCTGTGCTGTCAGCACTATGTCATACACTGTACAAACCCTAATGGCGGTGTTTGTTCATTCATAAAAGATCAGTAAAGCATTGTGCACACTGTTGGCGCTATATAAATCCTGTATAATAATAATAATCACTTAGCACTGCACGGCTATGTGATCTATCAGCACTGTCACTCTATCTCCTTGCACGCAGCATGATCGGACAGCGGTGACTAAACTGTCCAACCATGCTGCCTGACAATGGCTGGATGGATTTGAATGGGGATATATGTTTTTAGTCCACTAGAAGATAAAATTAAAAAAATTGTCAGACTTCTTTAAAAGGCCCCTCCTAGGACAGAAATATTTCAAGGTGCATTCTCAGGTGCATTCATCTATTGCTTTGCGTTACTACTTATTGAGTCCCTGATCAAGAACAGGCATGCAGCCAGTGAAGTATTGGGGCATGTGATATACTCATGCTCCTATAGATAGGAGGGTCATCCAAAAGCTCAAGATCACAGTTGTATTGCTCATTTCCAATTGAATTGACCACCGGAGGTGCAAAAAGTGAAGTGGTCCACTGCAATGAATAAACTAAGGATGGGTGATCTTTCTGTCCAGTAGAGAAGTTTGGAACTATGGACAATAATAATGGGAATCATTTCAGTCGCCTTCATATCCAGATCTATTGATTATTTCAACATGCATTTTTCAGAGGTAATCTCTGCATTGCATCTAATGCATTTTTTCACAAACTCAGTTTAAATTGTCAGTGTTAGTCAAAAGTATAATTTAAAAAATCAGCTGTTTGTCTGACATTGTCTATCTTCACTAGTGATTTTTAACCAGACTGGAGTCTTACCTTTTAGGGTCTGGTCCTTCTACAGAACAGATCCCCAAATAATCAGCTGGGGCAGAGCTCTCCTTCATTATGACATCCTTCTGTAACCTCCTTTGTCTTTGTCCTTTTGGGCCGTGTGTCCACCTTAATTAAGATTTAGTAGATTTCCACATTTGAATATCTTTTTGATGATACATGTAATGTAAATTTGCTGCATTTTTCAGTTATAAAATGGTGGTCCTTTCTTATGTATCTGATAGTTTTCCCATTCATCCCTGCTGCTTATACATTCTTCATTTGCATTTATTTTTAATAAACCACATTGAGAATTTCCACCCACAGGGTTTCTCTTTGTTCTGCAGACTATGTGGTTCCCTTAATATTAAACTTCATCTGCCATGTAGATGCCCACCCCCCTATCTTCCAGATCTTCCTGTAATATTTATATGTCTTCTCTTGAATTTACTACCCTACACATTTTGGTATGCTTAGCAATGACCCCAAGACAGAACCCTGTGGCACGCCACTGCCAACCGAGGACCACTTGGAAAATGAGCCATTTATTGATACTCTATGGGCACGTTCACTTAGCCAGTTCTCTATCCAAGTACTCACCATTTCATCATGGACCAAAGATTGAAGCTTGTAAATTAAACGAGGTACCGTATCAAATGCTTTTGCAAAATCAAGGTACACTATGTCCACTAGTTTTCCTCTGTCTAGGTTGCCATTCATCTCTTACCTAATAGGTTGGTTTTACACAAACATTTTTTCCTGAAGCCATGTTGGTTGTCACTTATGAGATCATGCCCATCAGGATATTCATGAATATAGTCCTTTATCATGCCCTCAAAAACCTTGCATACTATTGATGTTAGTTGAAGACATATTGTGTTACCTACAAGCACCTGCATTAGTCTTTGAATTGATCCCTGTACTCCTGTGTAGCCTCTTGAATCCAAGGCCCAAACTGTACATCGGACCCTCAATGGTTTGCCAGGTCAGTATTAGGCACTGCCCTCAAACCCACCATCATTCAGCGGTCAAATGGCAGAACTTTAGATAACAGTAGAGACTCCACTATTCTATAGTTCAGTGTCAAATGGTGGTGATGATTACCAGGAGGGGGTGGGTTAATCTCAAATCACCCTGTGTACAGACTGGAGATGGAATCCAAGGGACTTTATAGAGATCGATCTTAGGATACGTGTACTTATAGGCACCACAGAGTGCCTGCACTTCTGCACTGATGGTGTAGAACTGAACTTTAATGGACTGAAGAGCCTCTGTAGTTTGACAATTCAATGTCAGATGGAGGAGCTTATCACTAGGAGGGGTGGGTTACTTCTACTTGTAGGCACGTTATGGTGCCTGAACCTCTGCACTGTTGGCTGTTGAGGCATATTTTAGGTGCAATAATGTGCACATTTAACTGTTGTTAGTAAAGGTGTTGTGTTAGCAATATAAGATGAGCAGACCCCCGTGGCACCTGCACATAAGCAGTTTGCTGAGTATTATCCGTTTATAAATTTGCAGGTTTTTGCATTGTGAGGGACCGCACAATCCCAGGATGCGCGTCCCTGGTGTTGTGCGATGTAGTGCAGGTGTGAACCTAGCCTAAGTGAATGAGCTGAAGCTCTGCTGACTTTCTGCACCCAACCATGTACAACAACAATACTGTGTTTTTGGAATTATCCTTGCACAATTAGGTATTCTTTGCAAAGTGAAATTTTACCATATTCAGTAAACTAAGAAAAACTTCTGCAAATACAAATGATCTTGCAAATTGCAAAAACATCATATTTGCCTTTAGTAAATCAACCACTACTAAGTTAAGAAAGGATCTGATTCACTTAAGTTAGTGTTCACACATCTGCCTTTACTAAGGAAGTATAACTTGTGGCTTTGGGTCTCATTTGCTAAAGTATGAAATGCAGCAAAGCGCGATAGAGTGAGATTCATCTACAGTATGTTCCCTTTAAACATCTAATCAAAATTGGATGTTTGAAGTGTCAACAGGTGCACTTCACATCTTTTCATCATTTTATACTTTAGTAAATCAGGACCTTAATGTCAGATCTGATTTTTTTACAAGGCAAAGGCCTATGAAACATCATACAAGAAAGGATAAAATAACTAGGCTCTTGCATGACTTAAAAGTGTTTTTTCTTTATATGTGTTATAATGGCATTTGCAGGTAAGATACAAGTTGACTAAAATTGCAGGCTAAATTTTTATTTCTTCCTACAGCAGTATTCTAGAATGCCAAGTGATAGCATGCCATTTAGTTGTCTCTCACGATTAACAAAGCTGCACCTGTTGTACGCCACCTTTGATCTTTTATCTCCGTGGTGTGGATTATTTTTGTATCGCTTGCCTTGGCAGTTTTCAGTTGCAAAATAGATGAGATGTTAAGAAGACATGAATTTTTTACAAATTTTAAATTAAATCATTAGATTTCTAGAGCTAAATGCAATTTCATAAGGGTCTGAAGTAAGTGCTCTTGGCAGTGCTTACAACGTCCCAGTAGGTGGCTGATTACTAACTAAGACTTGATTATTGGAGGAATGATTGCTTCATAGACTGCAACTGGGAACTCAAGCTACGTGCTCGAAACAACTGCACGGAGGTGGGATGTCACCCAGATTGTTCTCATTTGTTATTTTCTCTATTGTTTATCTTTGGCTTGCAGAACCTCCTTCAGCTCCAAGAAATGTCAATTTCAACATAAATGAAACTGCTCTCTATCTGGAATGGAGTCCACCTTTCGACACCGGTGGCAGAAAGGACCTTGTCTACAATGTGATCTGCAAGAAATGTGGGGCGGACATCCACCAATGTGAACTTTGCGGTGGAGGAATTCGATTTGTACCTCAACATTCTGGCCTTGTCAATGCCTCAGTCATTGTCCTGGACTTCTTATCTCATGTCAACTATACATTTGAAATCCAGGCAGTCAATGGAGTTACAGAGCTCAGTTTGTCCGCCAGACAGTACACCTCTATCACCATCACAACGGATCAGGAAGGTAGGTTTAGCATTCAAGTTGAAAATTTCATTGTTTTGATTGTTTGAAACAGACAAAGAAAAATCTCTTCTTACCTGTTTAACTTTGTCCGTGATTAGCTGTAAATAGTATAGGCCTGGCTGTATGATGTTGATTTTGGCCTAGTAGGTTGGAATCTGATACAATGGGGGTGATTTACTAACCTAAACACAAGCACGCACTATCACACGCACTAGGTGCATGTGATTTTTACACAGCAAAACGTATTTATCAACCAAAAAGTCTCTAAAAGCATATTTCCACTAATGCCATATATGGAAAAATCATGCACATGATGCATATATAATGCTGCTTCACAGTTTAGACAAAAATGGTTAGCTCATGCATTTACATTCCTGCATTCATCAACGCAAGCAACACAACATAGAGCTAATTTACACAACATCACCTTGCAAATTCATGCAGGGCTTTGCACAACACACCTGCTGGGTGTGTACACACTACAAAGGTGTTTAGATTCCACCCATAGATCATGCTGGGAGGGAACACACTACAGAGGTGTATACATGTTCGTGGTGTGTTTATAAGGTTAGTAAATCAACCCCAATGTGTCCTGGTGTGTTTCTTTGCAAAACAGGACACATTTTGCTGGGAAGTGATGAAACATAATGTTAATGAAAAAAGCTACTGTGAGATATAAAGGTGAATAAAGCATTCTGACTGCCATTAAAAAGTTATTTGGTTCTTGAGATGTAAAACACGGTTTAACAATGTAAATAGATTGCACTGGTTTAGAAACACTCAACTCCATTTCCAACTGGTACAAATGTATTTTACAGTTTTGTTTTCACTTTATTGCCACCGTCTGCCTATTTTTCACTATATTTTGCACTTTACCTTGACATGTCAACTTCCTGTGTCAAACTTTTATGTACTTATATTTAAAGCAGGCATGATAATGTTGGAATATCATGAGGCTATATTACAAGCACATATATTTTCAGCTTATATAAACAGACCCTTAAAGGAGAACTATGAGGTGAGTGCTTTTCACTCCCCTCATAGTTCTAGCTGACCTGTGACAATGAGACTGTCACAGGTCGGCTAGAACTATGAGGGGAGTGCTTTTCACTCCCCTCATAGTTCTAGCTGACCTGTGACAATGAGACTGTCACAGGTCGGCTAGAACTATGAGGGGAGTGCTTTTCACTCCCCTCATAGTTCTAGCTGACCTGTGACAATGAGACTGTCACAGGTCGGCTAGAACTATGAGGGGAGTGCTTTTCACTCCCCTCATAGTTCTAGCTGACCTGTGACAATGAGACTGTCACAGGTCGGCTAGAACTATGAGGGGAGTGCTTTTCACTCCCCTCATAGTTCTAGCTGACCTGTGACAATGAGACTGTCACAGGTCGGCTAGAACTATGAGGGGAGTGCTTTTCACTCCCCTCATAGTTCTAGCTGACCTGTGACAATGAGACTGTCACAGGTCGGCTAGAACTATGAGGGGAGTGAAAAGCACTCACCCCATAGTTCTCCTTTAAGGCCCCCTTCACACCTTTCTGATCTGGAGCATTGTGCTTTAACATATGTTATGTCGTCCATTAAGGAGCATTGTGTTAAGGCAGCGTATGCATTTGTATGGTCTGCCAATGCACCAGAATAGATTAAACTGTATCTGAACTATGTTTTCCACACAGGACACCATATTGTAAGTTAGGATGCCATTCAAAATGAATGGTGCCACAAAGCATCCAAGATCAGTTACTGTGCATTGCAGTAAGCTAAAGCTGGCCTAAGAGGTAATGTTTGTTTGGCAAAGTCTTTTAACAAAACATAAAAAGTTGTATAATAACTTAAAGACGAACTATGTTTAAACTATAAAATGATATATGTGTTGTAGGTTGCCCACACCAGTAAGACTGGACAATCTCTCTTGTATAAAAAAAGGGGGTTGTTTTACCTCTGGAGATACAGTAGCTCTAATAATTTACCCTTGGAGGTAGGTCCGTCTTACCAGATCAATAACCGAAATAAAGCATAAATCAAACAAAAAGCGGTTTGGGCTACCTACATCGTATGGGTAGTCCAAGGGTTAATTTAAAGATCGGGACAGACCGAAAAGTTTTTTAGATTATTTTTAGAAAAAGGTTTTATTCATATAAAAAAAGTATAACAAACATGGCCAATCACTGCTTATCGACCAATTAACAACAATACAAAAAGGTCAGAACTGACTATAGATTTAATGACCTTTAGTAGGACAGTCTATGCCCCTTGAAATTAAAGCACATCTGTCAAGGCTTAAGGTGACTTCCCAATTTGAGTACAAAAAATTATTTAGATAATTGGATACCACTCCTGTGGGATATTTGCTATCCCATGTATTTCAAGTAGACTACTTTGGTTTTGATACTTTGTTCTTCTCGTATTTATGTTTTCGGCAAAATATATCTTTCGCCTGTTGGTTTTGGAACATTTGTATCCTTGTCTCAACAAGGTGTTGACCACTTCGTGTACAGATTAATTGGTTGTGGGATATCGATGGTTAAATTAAGTTTGTTGGTGCAGTGAACAGAAATATTTATGTGGGTAATAGGTACAATGTGAGTCTTCCCTTTACTCCTATGAGGGTGTAGGGGTATCTACTTGATCTAAGCTATCTGGTCTATAGATAGTATTCCATTGAAAAAATAGTCTTACTCACATGTCTAGGCCACAGTCGTCTCCGTGTATAGCTGACCTCTTCGTTTGATGAAAATGATTTTGTTGGTAAGGAAATAACCACAATCCAAAGGTTTGTCCTTGATATGAGAGTTTGTAGTACTGAGAACACAGCAATATCCAGGTAATGTCAATTTAGTATGTGAGAAGTGCCATGAGTCAAGCCGTTAAATCAATGTGTCTCATCTGTTTGGGGTTGGTCCAAACATTGCATGCCCCGGCGTCTAAGCGTTTCGCTCCTCCCCCAGGGGCTTTGTCAGACATCCCCAAGTATGTTTTTTAAGGGATTTCAGTATTTGCCCTTTAAGCTGCATTAAAACACTTTTATTTTGTATATTGATACATGTCCCTCATGGCAGTTCCTAGCTTCCCATGCCCTTTTGTAAACTAAAGCTTGAAAATTGGCCTTGAAAAAGACTGGGGAAAAGATTTGACTCCAATAGTTGTCAGTAGTGTTCACAAGCTACAGTATGTTCAAATTTTGTTGATTTCCCTCTGGGTTCAGCAAACAACTAGCAAACCAAGCTTTGGTGAAGTCACAATCCTTCTGGAAAGACCCTTGAAAACATGAGAACCCAAAATCTTCAGAAGATGCTGCAGTACAGTGCAGAAGCATCTACTTGACAGATTAGTGACCTGACTCTTGGCATTCCCAGGCCCTCGCCAGAAGAATTGAGAAGTAAAACTCACCTAGGTGCTATGGAGGAAAATCTTTTTTTTTTTATTCCCACAAGTATGTTTTTGGTACTGCCACCATATGGGGATTTTCAATTACGTAGGTAGGCTTGTTGTAATAACAGGACCCAGCATTTTAGTGCAAGGTTAATTTTGAATGTAAAGGATTTGTTACTCACTTTTATGTCATTGACATTCTGTCACATTACAAAGAATCAGGAACCATTCACACAAACACTTGAATGCAGTTAACTGTCTGTCCCTAACAGTCATACAAACACACATACTAGCTTGTAGTGCAGAATCTACCATTTTAAGCACAATAAGCTGCCACAAATAATTAACCCATCTGTGGGATGCCTTAGCTGTAATTGGTCTGGCAAGCTGACTATACATCTTCAAAATTGTGTGCAAGACTAGCTCTTGTCCTCTACTTTTTCTGCAAGAGACAATATAAGATAATTAAGACATACTGTGCCAGAGAAACAAATAAAAGACAGGTTAGAAAACAAAAGAGGCATTTTTTTTGAACTCACATTTGCAAATTGATTAATTTTATAGCAGTCACTGACCGATGGATTCAGTTGTAAAATGACTGGAAAGAATCTGGTTTTTGAAGACAGAAATTAAATAATAGAATTGTGCACAGTAAATCCTGAGTTTTGAAAGTTACTGAATATTCTAAATAGCAAATCACCAGATAGGTCCATGATAGGGGTTTTAGCTGAATGAACATTACCCGTGTAAACAAACTTTGCTAAGCACAAAGGGGGAAATTAACAAAGAATAATAAAGCCAGTGTCTACACCTGTAAACTGAGAAAATGGAGCAGATCCTGCTCTTAAAGGTGCCCATACACCTTACGATTATCGGACAAAACATTTAGTCCGATGATCGAATAGTCGTACGATTTTTGTACGGCAGCCCCATCCTGCCCCGATGATCGCAAGATTAATTTAGCCGTAATTAACGAAAAGCATCTGGATGAAATGCGGTAATTGATTTGCCGTATTTTCGTTAGCGCAAGCGCAGTGTAGATCGTACGACTTTTGACGGACAGAAACGCCAGCAACCTATCAAGCATGTTTGAAAACTTTGCTAGATCGTACGATTGTCGTAAGGTTGGTGGCGTTTCTGTCAGTCAAAAGTCGTACGATTGTACAGTACTGTCGGTCGGACACTGCAATGCACACATACGATTATCGGCCGAAAAGTCGATCGCATACGAAAATCGTACGATAATCGTAAGGTGTATGGGCACCTTAAGAAACAGAGGGGATGTTAATTAGAAGCAATATGCTCCATTTTCTATGTTGTGTCTGCGCAAGAGGTGGCATAGAGAGCAGGAGCATAGAGAGTGTAGTGAGCAGGTCAGGTGGAGCTGCTTGCTTCGCCCCCTTCTGTGCTTAGTTGAGAGTGAGAGGAAAGAGGAAGACTGTTAACTCCACATTTGCTGGGGGTTTCCTAGTATGCTGGGTTCCCTGCTAAAAGCTTTCATAGTAACAAAAAGGCTGTAGGGTCTCTTTAAATGCATAATGCGTACAACATATTTATTTTGAATGTCTGTCACTTGCAGTTGTGTGTGCATAAAATTATGGTGCTGGCCTCTGCAAAGGAACTAC